TGTCATCACGGGGAACACCCACACCCAGCTGCCCACAGCAGATTCCACCATGACGGTTACTACAGTGTCATCACGGGAAACACCCACACCCAGCGGCTCACAGCAGATTCCACCATGACGGGTACTACGGTGTCATCACGGGGAACACCCACACCCAGCTGCCCACAGCAGATTCCACCATGACGAGTACTACAGTGTCATCACGGGAAACACCCACACCCAGCTGCCAATCCCCAAACCACGGCCCAGGCGAGATGACACACAGCCTTCACTACCACACCATCCTTGAGCCCTTCGTCACAGCCACTGTGGCAGTCCACCTCATCGAGGTTCTTCCTCCTTTTTGCTGACCCTCCACTTTACCCAACATGACGTCCTTCTCCAAGGACTGGTCCCTTCTGACAACATGACCAAAGCAGGGGAGACGGAGTCTGGCCATTCTTGCTTCTAAGGAGCACTCCGACTGCACTTCCTCCCAGACAGATTTGTTCATTCTTCTTGCAGCCCATGGTACATTCAACATTCTTGTCAAGACCACAGTTCGAAAGCATCAACTGCTCCTCAGTCTTCTTTATTCATTGTCCAGCTCTCACATGCCTACGAGGCGACTGAAAATACCATGGGTTAGGTCAGGTACACCTTAGTCTTCAAAGTGACCTCTTTGCTCTTAAACACTTTAAAGGGGTCTTTTGAAGCAGATTGCCCAGTGCGTTTTGATGTCTGATTTCTTGATTGCTGCTTCCATGGGCATTGACTATGAATCCAAGTAAAATGAAATTTCTGACAACTTTAACCTTTTCTCCGTTTGTCATGATGTTACTTATTGGTCCAGTTGTGAGTCTGTGTGTTCTCTTCATGTTGAGGTGTAATCCACAGTAAGACTTTAGTCGTTGATCTTCATCAGCAAGTGCTTCAAGTCCTCTTCACTTTCAGGGAACAATATCGTGTCCTCTGCATATCACAGGTGGTTTATGAGTCTTCCTCTGACCCTGATGCCGCATCCTTCTCCACATTTTCCAGCTTCTCAGACTATTCTATTTGGGAGAGGACTGTGTAAATAAACTCCCGGCTGTGATGAATGAATGAATGAATGAATGATCTTACCAAGGTGAAAAGTCACAACCTTAGTCCATGTCAGAGATGGAGTCCAATCATGAAACCTAAAAAGCTATCATGAAATTTCCCAGGGTTTCCAGGATCAGCAATCCTACTTTTCAGTGTAACTTTTCACCCAAAGAAATGCCTCATTGCCAGAGCTGCTACCTGCCCTCTGGCCACTAGAGGCCACCTCTGAGCAATGACTAGTCAGTAACAACCAATGACCAACAAAACTGTCAGCTATTAGAACATAAGAAAACCCTGGCTCATGGTCCCCTGTGTGGGTCGAAGGAGAACCGTGACCCACAACTGGCATGGAGCCGGCCCTGGCTCATGGTGCACTGTGTGGGTTAGAGCAGGACCATGCCCCACAGGGCTCCTGTTGTTGTTGTTGTTATGTGCCGTAGAGTCAGACCCGACTCATAGTGACCCCTCCTTAGGTTTCCAAGGTGGTGTCACTACGGAAATGGATTGCCCAACCTTCCTTCCGAGGAGTGGCGGTGGGTTTGAACTGCCGGCCTTCTGGTTAGCAGTCAAGTGCCTTAGGCACTGTGCCCCCATAGCTCCTACAGGGCTCTCAGCAGCTGATTATTCCACAGATCATCAGGGGTTTCTTCTCAGGCACTTTTCAGTGGACTCAAACTTCCAAACTTTTGGTCAGCAGTCAAACGTTTAACCACTTGTCCACCCCCCCCCCCAGGGACTCCACTAGAACACCAACATCTTCCCAATAAAATAAGAAGCCTCGCTAACTGGCTGGACACGGGTTTCAGGAGCCTCGCTAACTGGCTGGATGTGTGTTTATGTGAAAAGACAATAATACCGTGGTCAATTTCAGGACAAGTGGTGGGACTGCCTGTCCATAATGGGCCTAAACTGGGCGCCCAGGTGGCTCTGACATTGGCTCTCTCACTCAGCCGGTATTTTCATTGCCATGTGTGACATCATTAGCATTCATGTCTGAGGGTGGACTGAGGGGTACTTTCAGCCTTGATTTTCAGTTACAGAAATAACCATATGGTCCTTGAAAACAGAGTCAGAGAAACACAACTAGAATCTGGACAGGCAGCGAAGCCCAGCACACTCTGTGATGCAAGTGCATGCATGTTTCTCACACACACCTGCCCTTGTGTCTCCCATGAGGTCTACCTGTGGGGGGAGCTGGATGTCAGTCCGTGCCCCGTTCTCCAGCAGCAGCTTCACACCATCCACGTCTGCGGCCTTCACAGCGAAGAACAGGACCTGCATGGGCACGCAGCACAGGTTGGGGTCAGCGCCTCGGCGCAACAGCAGCTGGATGGTCTGCCATCTGTTCCTGCGTCTGGAAGGAGACACAGGTGGATTCAGCACTGGCTGCCTGGACAGCACCTCCAGGACAGGACAGCCTTCCAGGGAGCTCTGGTAGCAAAGTGCCTAAGGCACTTGACTGCTAATCAGGAGGCTGGTGGTTCAAACCCACCAGCCACTCCTCGGAGGGAAGATGGGGCAATCTACTTCCATAGTGATACTGTCTTGGAAACCCAAGGAGGCATCGCTATGAGTCGGGTCTGACTCGACGGCACATAACTGTGCCGTCAAGTCAGACCCAACTCCTAGCGACCCCTCCATGGGTATCCAAGGTGGTATCACTATGGAAGTAGATTGCCCAACCTTCCTTCCAAGGAGTGGCTGGTGGGTTTGAACCATCAGCCTTCTGGTTAGCAGTCAAATGCCTTAGGCACTACACCACCAGAACTCCCCCAGAACACTCACTGGTCCTGCCCAAAACAACCCTATGCAGGGCCACCTCGCTATAACCAAATTCAGCTCTGCAGGCCAGGATGGGTCACCTATCCTTACTGAGGTCACCCGTGAAATGGGACAGGTACCAAACCACCCTCTGGGATGCTGTGAGATAATTACATACCACATACATCTGCAAATATACACACATGCACACATGCACATATTCACACACACAGGCACACGTGCTCATGTGCACACACATGCACACATACACATGTAGGGGCACATGCATGCACATGCATATACATACACATACACAGATGCACATGTGAGCATGCATGCACATGTACAGACAGGCACACATGCTCATGTGCATGCAAATGTGCACACACATGCATGCATAGGGACATGTGTATGCATGTGAACATATGTGTGCACACATGCATGCACATGTATGCATATGCAAGCAGATGTGCTCGTGTGCATGAACACGTATATACATGCGCACATATGGACACATGCACGCACATGTATACATACACACATGCACGTACACATATGCACGTACATGCACTTGTACAGTCACCTGCTCATGTGTTCACACATGTCCACATATGCACACATAGGAAGATGTGCATTGTATGAGCATGCGCACATGTACACAGACATGTACAGACTTGCACATGCATGCACAGAGACACATGCACACATGCGCACATAGACATGCACACACACAGGCCCATGACCCTTACCATGCCCAGGGGAGCACATGAGTGGGCCAAGCAGAGGGTCACCAGCACCAGTGCAGAAGCTGTGCTGACACATGGCTCTGAGGGCAAGGTGAGCGGCCGAGACAACGCACCACCCCAGGTGGGCCAAGAGGGGAAGGAGGGGGGCAGGCTGTGGGTGATGGAACAGCAAGGATGGTTCGAGAGAGCAGGGTGGTGGAGGGCCTGGCTCGCCCTGCCGACCCCACAGCCAGCAAGGCAGGGAGGGCTGAGGGGGCAGGCAAGGGAGGGACACCAGAGAAATGGGTCAGTCTAGACGAGTGGTTCTCAAAGTGGCCTCAGGGCCCCTTTCTGCTTGAAAGTCCTTGAGGACCCCAGAGAGATTTTCTCTGTGCTGGCCCAGGCCAGCTCCCTCAATGTTTACTGTATCACAAATTAAAGCTGAGACATTTAAAAACATTTTCTATTCACGTAAAAAGTAACAATAGTCAACGCTTGTTGTTGTTGTTAGGTGCCGTCTAGTCATCTCCACTCACAGCGACCCTATGCAAAGCAGAATGAAACACCACCTGGTCCCTCTCCAGTACCACGATACCTGCTATACTGGAGCCCATCATTGCAGCCACTGTGTCAATCCATCTCGTTGAGAGCCTTCTCCTCCTTCGTTGACCCTCCACCTTATCAAGCATGACATCCTTGGGAATGGTCCCTTCTGACAACACGACCAAAGTAGGTGAGACGAAGTCTGGCCATTCTCGCTCCTAAGGAGCACTCCAGCTGTACTTCCTGTAGGACACATTTGTTAGATCTTTCAGTAGTCCATGGTACTTTCAGCATTCTTCGCCAGCACCATAACTCAAAAGCATCAATTCTTCTTTGGTCTTCCTTATTCATTGTCCAGCTTTCACATGCATATGAGACAATTGAAAATATCATGGCTTATGTCAGCCACACCTTAGTCCTCAAGAAGATGTTCTTCTTCATATAGTCCAGTTTCTCGGATTATTTGCTCAGCATACAAATTGAACAAGTATGGTGAAAGGATACAACCTTGATGCACTCCCTTCTGGATTTTAAACCATGCAGTGTCCCCTTGTTCTGTTTGAATGACACCCTCCTGGTCTATGTACAGCTTCCTCATGAGTACAATCAAGTGTTCTGGAATTCCCATTCTTCTCAATGTTACCCATAATTTGTTGTGATCCACATGATCAAATGCTTTTGTATAGTCAATAAAACACAAGTAAACATCTTTCTGGTATTCTTTGCTTTCAGCCAAGATCCGTCTGACATCAGCAATGATATCCCTCGTTCCACATCTTCTCCTGAAACCAGCTTCCATTTCTGGAAGTTCTCTGTCAGTACACTGCTGCAACAATTTTTGAATTATCTTCAGCAAGATTTTACTTGCTTGTGATATTAACGATATCGTTCAATAATTTCCACATTCTGTGGGATCACCTTTCTTTGGGATGGATACAAATATGGATCTCTTCCAGTCAGTTGGCCAGCTAGCTGTCCTCCAAATCTCCTGGCACAGGCAAGTGTGTGCCTCCAGTGAGGCATCCATTTGATGAAACATCTCAGTGGGTGTTCTGTCAATTCCTGGAGCCTTATTCTTCGCCAATTTCTTCAGTGCAGCTTCGACTTCTTCCTTCAGTACCATTGGTTCTTGATCATATGCCACCTCCTGAAATGGATGAAGATTGACCAGCTTTTTGGTACAGTGACTCTGTGTATTCCTTCCATCTTCTTTTGATGCTTCCTGCATCATTCACTATTTTGCCCATAGAATCTTTCAGTATTGCAATGTGAGGCTTAAATGTTTTCCTCAGTTCTTTCAGCTTGAGAAATGCCACGTGTTCTTCCCTTTTGGTTTTCTAACTCCAGGTCTCTACACATTTCATTACAGTAATTGGCTTTGTTTGCTTGAGCTGCTCTATGATATCTTTGGTTCAGCTCTTTTATTTTGTCATTTCTTCCATCTGCTTTAGCTACTCTGCTCAAGGGCAATTTTGAGAGTCTCTTCTGACATTCATTTTGTTTTTTTCTTCCTTTCTCTTTTTAATGACCTGTTGCTTTCTTCACGAATGATGTTCTTGATGTCACCCCACAATTCCTCTGGTTTTGGGTCATTGGTGTTCAGTGCCTCAAATGTATTCTTTAGATGGTCTCTAAATTGAGGAGGATCTATTCCAGGTCATATGTTGGCTCTTGTGGACTTTCTTTTTTTTTTTTTTTTTAATTGTGATTTGGGTGAAAATTTACAGAGCAGATTCATTTTCCACACAGCAGTTCATACATATTTTGTTTCATAACATGATTCAATTCCCCACATTGTAATAGCTCTCTTCCCACTTTCTCCCTGTAGTTACCTCTTCCCTGTGTCCTTCCCTCCACTGCACTCTTGCCTGCTGCCCCTTCTCCCTCCACCCCTGCCCCAGCTATGTCCCTGTGCAAACACTGCCCTTCAGTTCCTCGCTCCCAGGAGTGTATCTACCTGATATAAGTGTTTACCTCATGTGCCTGTCTTTTGTTTGGCTGGAAGCCACAGGAGTGAGTTCAGTCCCAGACCTGAAGGGTAACTAGGGGCCATAGTCTCAGGGGTCTCACTAGGCTCTATCAGACCACCAAACCTGGTTTTCTTCTTTTTTTAAATGATTTTGGGTTTTGTCCCACATTGTTTTCCCACTGTACACAGGATCTCTTGCACTGATCCCCCTCCAAAGTGATTGACAGGGTAACCAGGCATCATCTAGTTCTTCTGGTCTCATGGTCACATAGGCTGAGGATCACATGGTCTACTAGTCCATTGGACTAATTATTTCGATATGTCTTTGGTTTTCTTCTTTCTTCTTTGCTCTGGATGAGGAGAGACTCATCATTGGATCTAGATAGGTACTTGCAAGCTTTTTTTTTTTTTTTAATTATGATTTGGGTGAAAGTTCACAGAGCAAATTCACTTTCCATACAGTAGCTCACATACACTTTATCTCCTGACACTGACTACAATTTATCCCAATGCAACAGCTCCCCTCCCACTTCCTCCTGATAGTTACCTCTTCCTGTGTCCTTCCCTCCATGCACTCCTGCCCCTTGAGCTGTCTCCCTGTGCATACACAACCCTTCTTTCTTGCATGATTGTTCTCTCCAAGGAGTGTATCTACCTCAGGGAAATGTTCAACTCATATGTCTGTCTTTTGTTTGGCTGGAAGCCACAGGTGTGGGTTCAATTCCAGAACTGAAAGGCAGCTAGAGGCCATAGTCTCAGCAGTTCCATCAGGCTCTATCAGACCAGCAAACCTGGTGCCCCCCATTTTTTTCCCAAATTATTTTGGGTTTTGTTCCACATTGTTCTTCCTCTCTATCCAGGATCTCCTACATAGATTCCCCCTCCAAGTGGATGACAGTGGTAGCTGGGCACCATCTAGTTCTTCTGGTCTCAGTCGTATAGGCTGCAGATCGCATGGTGTACCAGTTGCTAGGACTAATTGTTTCCTTGAATCTTTGATTTTCTTCATTCTTCTTTGCTCTGGATGACGAGAGATCCATTGTTGCACCTAGATAGCTGCTTACAAGCTTTTACGATCCCAGTCGCTACTCACCAAAGTAGGAGATGGAACAATGTTTTGTGTAGTATGTTATGCCAGTTGAGCTTCATGTTCCCTGTGACTATGGTCCCAAGCCCACAGGTTCAACTACTCTGGGTAGCTGACTGTGACCAAGAAATGACTACAACCTAGTTCTACTATACACCTGTGAATTCTTACAGAACATCCAAATATACTTGTAGAACCATTGTCTGCAAACCCTATACATGGTCTTACGTACACTCCCCACTTCATAGACATACCTAATAGTTCAGCCT